ATACATACATACATACATACATACATACATACATACATACATACATATATACATACATACATACATACGTATACATTATATATTTTTTACATACATTCCCGATAAATAAGTCATGCTTATCTTTTCGACTTTTCAGTTACTTCAAGTACGACTTTCAGTTACTTTTCAGTTATACTCGTAGAGATCGGTTCGGTACCACATAGTAATAGATCCTCTGCGACATAAGGGCGATATAATGGAGTTGTGGGATAATTTTCAAGATATTGAAGATGAGTTGGTGAAGTGCAAACTTTGCACAATAAATTTTTTAATTGAGGCAACCGAAACACAAATGATAAAAGCTTTACTTTCCCACTTATCGTACGCGCATAAAATATCTGATACTGATATAAATCCCGTCGTACCGTACCACCTACGTAAATATTACACGAGCTCAAATGGTCAGGCAAAATGCAGAGCGGAAGAATGTGGATATACTACAAAAATTAATACAAAAGAATCAGAAGATCATTCAAACTTGGTTAATCATAAAAAACATGAACATCCCGGTTGGACAATCAATTGTCGACCAAAGTAAGTACATATTTAAAAACTTATTACATCACACGTGCGTGGAAACATGGGCCACTTTCCACGCACTTGTAATATAAAATAAGGTGTGTAACACGTGTGTTAAGTTGAAAATTAGACGTGCGGGTGTCCACTCCGCATGTCCAATTTCCAACGTACAGCACTTGTTACACAAATAACTATTAAAATACCATAAATGTAGTAATAAAACAATCAATATTTATAGACAATTAAACTTTCAGCAGAGAAAAACCGCCATTAAAACTTCACACAGACATCAGCAGGTGTTTCAAAAAACAAAGGAAAAATTTAATATGCTTTGCACAGTGCTTAGTAAAGACATGTGAACGATACATTTGGTTAAACAAAAACGAAAGTAATCAAGTAAGTTACAGAAGACACTTGATTTTTGTACATAATCTTCAAGATACAGATCACAGGTTACCTGACAAATATCTGAAAGATTTCGACAACTTACCAGAATTTAAAGCAAAATGTCGTACATGTGGAAGTGTGATAAGTTATTTGAGGGATTGCGGACATTTAAACGAGCATTTAAATAAATCTGTAAGATGTCAAAATAAGGATCAACATAAGTAAGTACAGATTCAAGAATTTATTAATACCAATCTCTCTCTCTCTCTCTCTCTCTCTCTCTCTCTCTCTCTCTCTCGGATGTTTTATGTGATTATGTTATTTATATCTATATGAACATAATACTCAATTCTATATTTTTTTACAAATTTAAATCTAAATTAAAAATATTAAAATTCACTTTTAAAAATAAATTAAGTTCGACCAAAAATTATACGTCCGAGATATCCACATTAGGGATATTCGCAAGGGTCAGCCCTAACCGTAGTGCAATGGAAGAGCCTCGCCCTGGAGGAACCGCCTTCATGATCACGATAACCTCTACGCCAGGTAAGTATGTCTAACCGAGCTAGACATACCATAAAGAAACTATAAACGTTGAACAGGCCCAAAATCGATGGAAGAATTTGAAGGATAGTTATGGCAAACACATAAAGAAACGTAAAAGCGGTAAAAACAGCAAATTTGGATTTAGTAATGCAATGAGCTTTCTGAATGAAAGCATGGACAGCATGTTTTTAATGCAATATTTCGACGTTTTAAAACACTGAACATATTGACATCAAAAACTGAAAAAACAATCTTTTCTTTGGTTTCTTCTACCCCTATTTTATACATAATTCTTTTAAATTTGGTTGATTAGAACCAACTTTATACGCAATCAAATGTTCATATACAAATTTACGAAAACAAAGCTTCCTCTATGAGGAAGCAAAAAGAAGAAGAGACTCAAAGCTGACGGGCAATCGACATAGAATTGAGATTGAATATAAAACCAGTTCTGAGTCTCCAGGATTATGTTGGCTATAACACCAGAGCAAACTGCCGATGGTGAACGTTTTTTCCTACTGTCTAGAAACAAGTATATAAACGCAAGAGGCATATTTCCATCCCAGGACACCCCTCTGTCAAATTTACGTACATTGCCAAAATTGCAGCACCTAATGGTTATAATGTGTTAATGTTGAAATCTTTAACACATACATCATCGACAGCAAGCGAATGCATTTACCAGTTTGATCAAGTAAGAAAAGTACCATCTTATGCAGTCACGATCGTCGTCGGTGCATTGCAGCACCGATCATTCAACTTTGATTATTCAACTATTGGTAAAATTGGTATATATACGTCGAGACTTAACGCACGATTCGTTTTGTACTGAAGAAAGAAAACGAAAAATAGAAGCTGAACGAGAAAAGAAGCGCTTAAATCGAGAAGAGAAGGCGAGACAAAAGCAAAAGAAGTTATCCGAAAAAAATAAAAATAAAAAATTCATAAAGAAAGAAGTTCCTATTTCCGACAAGTCAGGGGAGCAATATTTATTATTTTATGTTTATTATTTTTTATTATTTTAGTATTGTTTAATTTGCGATTGCAATATATACCAACTAGCCTAACATTTATTTCCTTTTTTTATGGATATAAAATTAAAATCTTGAAATCGGAAATGATCACTGTTAAAAAAATCTGTATTAAAAATAATATAAAAATGTAGGAAGTTTTTGCAGATACCGTATATGAAATTTCAAATACGAAGTTGAAAATTAAAGGAATGGTATTCCGAAAATAAAAGTAACGAGTAGTATATGCGCATCTGTTTGAAAAATCAGATACTTGTAAATAAATTTTAATCTTTAAATATATTTAAATTAAGTTCATGTTCATAAAAATTAGAAATTTTTTTCTTAATTTAAATATGCTTAAAGATCAATATTCCTTTACAATAGGGGTATAAAATAGGGATAGAAGAAACCAAAGAAAAGATTGTTTTTTCAGTTTTTGATGCCAATATGTTCAGAGTGTTTTAAAACGTCGAAATATTGCATTAAAAACATGCTGTCCATGCTTTCATTCAGAAAGCTCATTACTAATAAATCCAAATTTGCTGCTTTTACCGCTTTTACGTTTCTGCCATAACTATCCTTCAAATTACAAGTATATGAATTTTCAAATAGATGAGCATAGTAATATTACTGCTCGATACTTTTATTTTCGAAATACCACTCCTTTAATTTTCAACTTCGTATTTGAAATTTTATGTACGGTATAAAAACTTCCTACATTTTTATATTATTTTTAATACAGATTTTTTAACACAGTGTGAAGTTTTAGTATGATGAAGTTCAGACTGTCCTGATCAAAAGTCTCAATGGGTGCAAGTTCAGAAAATGCTCATAGTTTCCGAGAAACTTGGTCTCAAAGTGTTGAAATCGATGATGATTTTTATATCACACGTGCGTGGAAAGTGGCCCATTACGCGCGCGCCATCTGTGCGACAAATAGCCAATTCCATACGCGAGTCAAAACAGTGCGGTAATGTAACATTACCGCACTGTTTCTTTGAAACTGTGCGGTAATGTAAACATTACCGCACTGTTTTGACTCGTGTATGGAATCGGCCATCCGTCGCACAGATGACGCGCGCGCAATAATGGGCCACTTTCCACGCACTTTGTAATATAAAATAGGGTGTGTAACACGTGCGGGATGAGAATTGGACACTCGTGCGGGTGATCGCACTCGCCTTCGGCTCGTGCGTCCACTCCGCACTCGTGTACAATTCTCAACTTCCCGCACTTGTTACACAAATAACTATTCTTTCATTCATAAATCGATGCAACACGCATCTGCATACTTTTTCCTCTGAGATTATTTTCAAGCGTGTGGAAGAGCATTGCGAGCAAACTGTGATAGTAAATCGTGTAATCCAGCACAATACAGGTGCAATGGAAAATCCATTGTTATATATTTATATTTTATGTTCAATATTTGTTGTGTCACTATGATTACTTCTGCTTTATTTTTTTAAGTTTCCCTTAAAATTCTTATGATTTTCCAGCCATTGCTTCGAGACGAAAATCGTGAAACTGGAAGAATCGGGCAATTTGCATCATTGTAAATCTTTCTTCACGATCGTTTGGAACGGAAGGGGCGAAACGCGCAAAAAGAATCGCAGAAAGAGATGATAGGTGTGAATGTGAGCAACATCAGCGTGAAAATGTAAAAAAATAAACTGTCCTGCTATCCGCTTAAATACACGTTTAAAAACCTTTTAGCCAATATAATAATCAATTCATGCTTGTACATGATGCATGTATCATAAATTTGTCTTAAAGAATATTTTGATTTTCATTATTTTATGCCGCATAATGAATAATTATTACTGTTTTTCAGCTCTCAGTGCAAATGGAGAGAAACGTGAAAAAAACAAACATCTAGTCGCGTCGATTACTTAATGGTTTAATGGAATGAGAACAAACGACGACATATTATTAACGAAACGGCCGAGTAAAGATGAACAAATAAGGATAAACAAAGCTCGTGTCAACAAGTAGAGTATTTCTTTCGAAGGACGACTGCTTAAATTACTTTTGCTTGCTTATAGAGCAGAGCTCGGCCACTGATGACTGAAACGACCCTTTAACTAATTGAACAGAAGTAGAATTCAGTAATTATTGAAATAAGGAAAATTTAGGCCGATTTTCGGGATCTTTTACAGGTGAGAGCGGAAACATTGATCTGCATATTGTACGTAGCAAACCGCATAAGACACAGTAAAGAATCGTCGCTGATGTCGATCAATCACCGACATGCAATATGCAGATCGATGTTCCCGCCTTTATCTGTATATAATCCCGAAAGTCGGCCTAAATTTTCTTTATTTCAATAATTATTAAATTCTACTTCTGTTCAATTATGTTAAAGGGTCGTTTGAGACATCAGTGAATTGAGAGATATCACTTAAAAAAAAAAAGCGCCAATAATACCTCATAAGTGACATAGAAAGCTATATAATGTTTATAAATTATACGCGCCTGAGCGGTTCATATACTAATTTTTCAATAATTTAATATTGTTAAAATATAAAACAATAAAAATTTATTTATTAAATAAAAATTTGAATCGTTTCCTCGATTAATGTTTATTTATGTTAACCAGCCCATACTTATGCGCGCTACACCCTCAACCTTTCCTACTGAAAAATTGTCAAAATACGCGGCACGGCTGAAGTTGCTCGTGAAGAGGGATATAATCTATTATAATCTCCGTCCAGCATGCAGAGGGAAAGGTGGACGGTCATGGGGGTATGACTGGGCTGCATTAAATACACTGTGTCGGTAGAGGGGATATTGACAATCGTGTCTTTATTTCCTTTTATCTACTAAAATAATTTAAGAAATGGATCGAATCAATGATATTTTAACAAAATATTGATAAAAATATACAGGGCTGTAAAAATTATTGCCCAATTTACTTTATTCGCGGCTGAAAATGCAATATTCCCGTCGGGTCGGCCTTATAAGTGTCGGAGGTAGGGACATTTACCTTATATCTTTGCTTCACGTGTGGAACTAATTTCGTCTCCTAATAGACATTTCCCTATCCTTGCATCTTCTTGCTCGACATTTACCTAATATATATAATCTCATATTGGAAATACGAACGCCATAATTATAGCACTAAATAAATAAAATAAATGTTTAGGTCCAAAAATCCGCCACTTTCAACTATTTGCCCTTTCAGCAGCTATCGGATTAGAAAGTAGACTTGTTTAAACAAACCTGCCGTTAAATAATAGTCTATTTACGAGCAAATAGAGCCGCAAGTAAAACCGTGGTCGTTTTGGTGATACGTTAAAAATCGTTTATTATGGGTAATCATGCAGTTTTATAACTTTGCAGGCGTTTTTTCGGTGTTTTTCCCACTCTACTGGGTAGAATGCGTGGGTCGACGGCAGTGCTTTCTCTTCCGTCTTTCAGCGAAGAATCGGCCGTGCTCTCGACTAACGATCGATATAAATGGGAGACAAAACTAATTAGACGGGATTATTAAAGACAATATGGCAAATTGCGCTCACTTGGGGACCGCGAGCCCGCGGGGGCGCCCGCGCGATCGTGCACCGCGATAGACAACACACCGTCGGAGCGCGTCGGCACGATTCGGCTCGTTAATTATACCCCGCTTACGATTACAAGATCGCTTTAATTGCGATTGCGTAACGCTCGATCGATACACGTATATAGATTTAGCCGAGGCTCGGCGAACGTACCCCGAGGGGCTTCTCTCGTACACAATCCCACTGACCCGTTTTTCGTCTCGAGACGCATCCAAGTACGCGATCGACCGAGATCCCGGTTGCGAAATCAGTTTCGCTCGAGGTGCTAATTAACTCGCACCGCGGGATTTTTTCGAACTTCCATGTCCTTCGAGGGTGGTCCGCGCTGTTGCGTCGACAGGTACATTAATAAATCTCCGAGACCCCTCCTCTTCTCTCCCACTTATTTCTTTCTATAAATACGATTTATAAATGTAATATAGGCTGCTCCATTTTTTGTAAGTATATACCTATACATGATTAGAGGTTCTTGCGTAATATATCGTTATCATTGATTATAAACTACTTGAATATAAGCTACAAGGTCGTTCAGAACACTTTAATTAAAAAAAGGTTTCGAAATGTCTACGTTGTTGAAAGTTTCTCACGATTCTCACGACACACGTTTTCAAAAATAATATCTGAACGAAATCTGTTCACTATATACATATAATGTTTCGAAATAAAACGCATTTACGTCAATTTCAAGTTTTACAGGCATATTCTGTTAATGCATAAATCGCGCGTTTTACTGCACACGATTAACAACGATCTCGCGAATAAAAGTCTGACGTACCGGCGCAAAATCCAGAGATTTCTCGCGCGAGATAAATCAGGCAACTTGCCAATTTTTTGCCAATTCCGCAAAGTGTACGTGTGTGGGCCTATCCTGATCGGGCGGAGCGCGTGTACATCTGTCACCGTGCGCGCCGCAAATCATATTACGGGTATCGCGTTTCAATTTACGCTTATACGAATCGTGTAGCACGATCGCGGTGCCGACAATCGCCACCGTTGCTAATACGTTGCTCTGCTCAAATGAGTCAGAATGACCTCTCTTAGCGGCGCCGGGATTCCAGCACCGAGTTGGATCGTGTATCCGCCGCCCACCTACGCCTGTCAATCGTCGATAGATCACACCCGATTGCAAACAGATCGTTTGAGTCCGCTGCTTCGATCCGTATAGGCCCGACACAGCAGGCGCCGACGCCTGCTTTCTACGCACCGAAATGATTTTCAATTTCGCCGCAAATCAATGCCACCAGATTTGTTACAGCGAAATTAAATGCGCTATGTCATTATCGTTCGATGTTGACACCACACAGATAAAAATCACTGGGCCGAGCCCGCGCCTTTGAAAGTCACAACATGACATGCAGCATACCCCGGTCACGTGAAACACTA